GCCACGGACACCAATCTTGACTTTCGCCGTTGGAACATTTCATCTTGACGTTTCTTATATAGAGGGATTTTCATTAGAATTCGTTGAAACAGCTGACGTAGTGGTTCAGAGAGCTCCTTCACGAACAGGATCATCACTATCCTGAAACGATTGTCAATTCATTAATTAATCAGTTAGTGCTTATTTTGAAAAAATTAACGTGAGAAGGACAGCTTCTTTTATAGTTCTACCAGCTCTTTGCAGGCTATCAGATTATTTTAAGTTTTCTCACGAAAAATTACCCGTCGATAGCGTTCAGGGAAAGCCAAACGAATGTCAGACATAGGAAGCTCCACCAAATATACGGCAGCAAACCAGCTAGTACTTGTGCGAAAAGCATGTCGATCAGGTACAGGCTATCTTGAGACACTTTCTGGAATGTTTCCAAATTATGAAAAGTGTACATAAGTGAGCAGTAGCAACGCTTGAGGCTTACCTGAGCCAGGAGTACTTTATTTCGTTTCATTCGCTTTGTGCTTTCGGTGTTTGACAATACGGTATTCGATCTCTGAAATAGAAACACTGAAAAAATCAGAGAACACAGCAAATGTGTCAGCGCTAAGGGTAAGGTCGCTGTCGACGAGCTTCGTCATCAGTAGACAAGTAGACTAATGAGCACAAGGACAACTAATTCTTTCATTCCCTGATAACTAACGAAGCAACTTATCGAATATGAACCCGGAACTTTTTTGGCCCGGAAACGTCGTATTCACTAAGGAATACCGGCTGGAACTTGACCCCGATAACTATCATACAATAAGAGGGAACTCGAGGCAGTACTTTCACTTCACTTTCTAGTGGGCCGCAGCAATTCGGAAAGAGTTCAGTAGCTGCAACTGTGGAAATCATTCGATCTCTGTACATCTTTCATTCTTCAAGATATGGTGAATGTGGGGTCGGGGGAAATGGGGGAGGGGGGATGAAGCTGTCCCAATGGCAGGTGGCGCACTACCACACGCGTATGGTCACGAGTTCGAATTCCGGACCAATATCCCTAGGCCCACCAAGCCTTGCATTTCCCGGAGTCGGTTATCTGGTAACAGACTCGTCTGGGAGGATAAAAGCACTGACTTGTCACATTGGCTGGCCACCTCAAACCAGGCTTACACGCTACGACCATGATAAATAGAAGAACAGTGCGGGAGCGCTTTGCTTCTTTTTTCGGTTGTCAACGCTTTTGATAGCCATCGACTTGCTTTTCGAACTATAACAATTATAGATTCTCCAATATATGGCGAACTCACAGTGACGGCAAGCAGTTTTGCAAAAGTGACCACGTTCAGTGTGAACATTGTAGCTGTAGATGCATAGACCATAATTCCGACATACGCAAAAGCGTCGGCCGATTGTGGCTGACCGTCTCCACCCCAAACCAAGTAATCTTCGTGGAATACATAGCCGATACCATCTGAAAATTATGTTCTTCCGTCTTCAGACTTTTTGTAGGCACAAAATCCTTCACCAAGAATTCTCAGAAACCATTGGATATGCGAACAGGAAATCAGGACTGGAATGAGCATATATTCAAGGACAAGGGAACCCCAGCTCAGCCCCTATGCAGCAGGTTATGTGATGGTCTTTAAAGCCAATCATTGTAGCTTTAGCGGAAATGGGCTCTCTCTTGACCTAAACTATGACAAATTCTGGTACGACAGTAAATTGACGAAAGTTCAGGCTGGTTGAGGACTGCGCAACCTGGAAGCTAAGCATTTATCGATGTAGTTCCTGTTAGGTTTCGGCCTTCGAGACTCCTTGCGCAGGTTCTTCAATATTTGGAGTATCACAACAGGACATTCGGAATGCTTAGAAATGCACTAATCAGTTTTGAATTTGTGGAATTCCTCACGACAATTGTGTGTAAGCTTTAGACTTTAGCTCTAGACTGAAGTTTGGGCGGAATAGCCTTATTCAGAGCCTGAAAGAATCATACCACCCAACTATGCTAATCTAATAATCCTTGTTAGCCTTTTCGCTTAATATATCACCATGTGAATCTTTCGTGCTCGATTCATGCTTGTAAGGCATGGTGGTGAAGTGGCAGATAGCGCACTAGGTTACGCATACTGCGGGGATCCAATCTCAGAGATCACCTCACCCATCTAGTATTTTCCACACTCAGGAGAACTTATTTCTGCCTTGCAAATTAATTGGCAGGGAAAACTTGCAGTCGATGGTATCAGGAACGCGATGCTCGAAGCGTTTCACTAGTAGAAACGCCCAGATCTAGATCTAATTCTTTTCCCTATTATTAACAATTTTTTCGTTCAAGGGATCCTTTAAATATTTGTCTTTCTTTTCTTTTCGTTTTGTTAAACTCACTTAGATCGTAGGCAACGGCCAAGCTGAACGTCCCAATCCAGCACAAGATAATAAGCATCTGGAAACGATAGATTTAATGAGGACTCAGTGAAAATATTGAAATTCAAAGCTGGAAGTATGTACATACATGTGAGTCAGCGGAATTGTAGCTCGCCTACGAGAAGGAGATTTCCCTAACCTCGGCGGCTGTGCTTACCCTTTGGCTACAATGCTTCATAAAACAAATATTTTCTATCAATGAGTTACTATTTGCGGACATGCGGGGCGTCCATGGGGTCCAGGTTTACGTATGGTCCAGGTATCGGATGCCAAATCGTCCTCCGCCCAGACCATCCTTCCGGGCTGAATTAATTGGAAGCTGGCTATATAGAGCATAACTTGTCCATTTCTTTCGCGGCTGGTCACCACAAGTAAATCTTTGGGCTACGTACATAATAACACCACACAAGGGTCCTGAATGGAAGTTGAATGTGGGCGTAGGCCCCAAAAACTGGATTGATTCACGCCAAAGCCCACTATCCTTTAGTTTTATTGTCGATTACTCTCCGCACCAGTGCTTTTATGGAACCTTCTCAACATGGGAACATGTAGCGGAAACCGTCATCAATGCCATCCAATTTCCGCTGACTCACCCAACTCATGAACTCTTTAGAGTGACGAATAATTACCGTGGTGTTCCGGAGTGTGCAGAATCTGTTGTAGGCATGAATAGAGAAAGATGCGATGACACGATTCACTGAAGCCAACACCTAAAATTAGAACACTTGGACTCCACTGGTAATTGACTTGTACATTAATTAATCTAGTGAAACCGCTGAGCCGAAAAATTGCTCGAAAATCATGAATTTTCCACCTCATTGGGTAGACTTGAGCCTTTCAAACTTTTGTTTTCCACTGAGCATGGTCATTTTATAAACAGTCTAGGTATTTATAGACTCTGACGTCCGAAATGACCACTGGCACCCTCGGGAGTTAGTTGAAGGAGGAACTAGTTTGGGAGAGCTTTCCTATGCCAGAAAATTCTCATTTGACTGAAACGTCCTGGGGGATTAATAAATGCCTAACTACCTGAGTAAGGACGCCTCCAAGGTAGAGGGTGCCGCCGAAGAAGTTACCGATAACTATTCCAACAAAAGAAGAAGAATAATGAGAACTCCTGAAACGAAACAACGGCGTGTACTCCAACACTGAAAGCCTCACTGATCTGATAAAATTGCAGAGTAAGGGGTTTGATATTTATTATTTGGAGAACAATCTTATCTGGTGAGCCGACGCCAGTTTTTTGACGCTAGAGCAAAAATTGAACCAACTATATTTACCGTAAGTACAGCAAATACCGTACTCCACCGTACCCTACCGTACTCTACTGTAATGCACAATGAGTCTGTAAAACTTACAAAAATGCAGTTGGAGCACACCAGGCGAGAAAAATGACGCATGTAAGGAAGTTGAACAAGGCCTTGGAAGCACAAATCATCAAAAACGAGCTTCGAGATTTTCGTGGTCGGACCACACTCACAAACACATATGCGTTCGATACCATACCCATCGAAGACATCTAAACGACTTGAGTTTTCAAAACTATGCGAACGGACATGTCTATTCAATTAAAATTCATCCCATTTAATGAAATTTCAATTGCTTACTTACAGCAAACTGTTTTATTTCATCTAAACAGACCCTCGTCATTTTTACCCCCAAAAAGGTTTCTTGCTGCATTTCAACCAAACTTATGCTCGGTTTTCACCATGGCGAAGTTTCGATATCGGTGATATTCCCTTCGATCACCAAAAATGTGAAAGAGACGGTCTTCATGTTTCAGCTTTCCTAAGTAACCACCCTCCTACATGACTGTAATGTGGTTAAAATCTTTACTTGCACTGAGAAGCGATAGAAATGACTAACCACTGCTGTGAGGATTCCAGCGAGAGTATGGAAATCCTCAAAATCTACCATCATTTCTTCATCGTCTGTAGTATTCATCCTGAAAGAGCAGTTTACATATAGTCGAATGGGTTTTTGTCTAATTCACCTTCGAAAGCTTCATTGGATGAAACCTTTCGAGTGACAATAGTCTTACCAAAAAATCAGAGGCAGATGAAAGGAATTTCCACTGGGAGGACTGTGCAACCCTTTGAACGGAACCGGTGTCGGTGAACCTATTCCCCTTCTCCGTCGACACAGCCACCATTCTTGGCATTCTCAAGTGGGAGGAGCAATGTGAACGTTATGGGGATAGCACTTTCTAGGTAACCCAGTGAGACCCATATTTCTGAGCTGATTAGAAGGAAGAAATCTGTAGCATTACTTTTACTAAGAAAACATTTCAGAAGGGCTGGACCGTTTAAAAAAGTCTTTTGGAATTGGTAATAAAGACATATGCCGCCATTAAAGAAATGGAATAGGGTATTCGTATTACCCCCACCTTTATTCCATTACTGGGTAAAACTCCCAAAGACCAAACATCCGAACAAATGGGCGAGGTAAGACATAACTGCTTCAGGAAGGCTTTAGTACTTCTCTTTTGAAACAGAAGTTCTTGAAAGGATAAAAATTGCAGTGATCGCGGAGGAGTCTTCTGACAAGTTCAACTTAAAAGGGGCGGAGACAATATGTTGTCGTGTTTACGGGAGTGTATACCTAATCACAAGCAACACTGATTTTGTGAAGAAAACATCGTCCAAAGGCTGAACTCAAGTGAGATCAGGGCGTCAGCGTGGGTCGACGTCGTCACATGACGAGGAAAGCCGCTCTGAAGAGCAGCAATCAAACCTGAAGTGAAGTCATTAGAGGACCTTACTAGAAGCATTGTCGGCCGCTCGTTAACCGGTGAGCTCTGACGTAACCAGAAAAAAAGAACTCAAACTATGAGGGGTCACTCTGAGATTCTAACACTCTTACTGCTTTTTTGGGTGCCTTACTTCAATGAAAATTAGTCGAGTCAGTAGACATTGTGAAATCAAATTGAGAAGGTATCATGGATGCAGGGGTGGAGATGGAGTGGTGCCATGTAGGCCCTAAAACATGCATGGTCCGTTGGTCGAATCCCGGCTTGAGATGTGTCAACCTTTCAGCATTTTCGGGGTCGGTCATCAAGTATCAAATTGAGAGAGAGGCTAAGTTATTCTCGTGAGCGTCTAGTCCTGCCGAAATTATATACAGAATTCCTTTTACCCCTATAGCGATGCGAAGAAATAATAAGAAAAGGAAGTTTAAAATACAAAGTTATGGCTCGCCTTAAAAGTACAGTTCACGATAATTTTCGGTAATCCAGATTATGACGAAAAATGGAAGATAAGATGAAAAATAGCGCGATGAAGGCAAAGAACGTGCGTGAATAGGTGTTTCCAAAGTGAAAAGGCTTTGAAAAACCGTTCAAAAGGGGGCTGGAGGAAATGAGACCAGAAAAATGAACAAGAATGGGGCGTTTGAAAGAGCTATACAATGTGTGTCATCGCGTACGTGTAGGTCCTGATGGGAATATGTAGACTGACTACGGCAAGCAAAAATTCATTCACACACAAGTATAAGTTTACAAAAAAACCCAGTAATAGCAAAAATAACCTATCTTTTGAAAAACAAATAAGGGATCGCAGCAGCATGAAGAATTGTAGAGAACAAAAGAATAGGAGGAAAACAACGACTCATTACTCGGGGATCAGCTGATTGTATGTGGGTCCCAGAGCGAATATTGCAATCTGTATCGCCTTGGCGCTCGTCTGACGTGACATGGTCGGGAGGCAGGAAGTCCGGGTGATCCGGTAACGAGGCTCCCACTATGCTCTAGCTGTTGAGTTTCGGGCTCGACAACGTCCTTCCTGTTACCCTTGGGGGCCACTGAGTACCCCCAAAGGGGAAACTCAGAAACCACTTTTATCGTGAGCTGTGCCTTTGACCGTGGTTTTTAGTTTATGCAACTTCGGTGATAACGTAAGAATATTCCAAGATTTCATTACCAAGGACAGACAAAAGGTAATTAAACAACAGCATGAACAAAACAACAAATTTTAATGCATATCGATCACGGTATACTTGTTATACCGTGAGACCTTGGATATCCTGCCACTGGAATCCGATCTGGCCACAGCCAGAAATGTTTGATAAGCCTCATGGAACTGAACATTCATAGATTTGTCTTTGTTTTGCTTTCAAAACGGAGATCAGCAAACACCGTTGCTATCAGGACATCGAACTTAGAATGTTCAAACGTGTAGGGATCCTCTCACTCTTTACAATCTATAGGAAAGGTCCAGCATAGTTGCAAAGCGCCGACGGCAGCGGCCTGTGCGAGACTACACCCTTCTCCCCTCTCCTTCTCCCTCTTCTCACCCTCATCTGCCTTGATCGCGAACTAAAGCCGTTTTAAAACCTCAGGATAAAGATTTCTCACACCCTATCACCAACAGATGGGCGGAGGTGGTGTAGTGGCAAAGGTAGTACTATCACACACGCATGGTCCAGGTCCTATTCCCCCCATAGATGCTCGCCTACGAAACCAAGCAAGTCATCCGTTCGGGTTCGGTCATTAGGTACCAAACTCGTCTGAAAGAATAAAAGCACTGACTCCCCCGTCAGCTGACCACTTCAACTACTTGTGTAGGCCACAAAAGCATTCAAACCGCTACTAGGATTCAAACTAAAAGAGGATGGGGGAGCATACCCTTCAGGTGAAATTTATCAACGCCAAAACTCTAGTCTTCTGTTATTAGATGCACTGAACCCCTTAAAGTCTCTATTTTTCGTCCTCAAATGGAAAGACAGTAGTTAAAGAAGTAATCGGCTTACCTTCAAAAAAGCCAAGCAGAATTCCGGTTGATTCCACAGTACATCATAGTCCATCTCTAGCACATCTTTCAAATGTTGCAAGGCATCGTCGTAAAACAGTAGCCTTTCTGTAAGACAACTTTGCATCTCCAAAAGTATGTCGTTTGCTCCTTAATCTCTTGTATTTCTAGTGGAAATCCCCCCATCAAGGGGTCATGGATGTGGATGAGGATCCGCTATTCCAGGTACCTCCCTCAGAGTAACCGACTTTTACCAAAATGACCCCGGTGGCGCATCCCAATCCATTTCGCCAAATCAGCGCCAACTTTTTAGGACGTTTATACTAAGGCAAATATCATAAACCATGAAATCTATGAAACTTACTGTAGTACTCATGAAAGTATGGGGAAATAATCTTATTGAAAAGTGTCATCAAAAGAATTGAGATGACAACTGCTGTGAAAATAGCAAGAACGTTTAAACGCACATAAGACAGCAAGTCGAGGGTCCTGGAATGAAGGAAAGAATTCGGTGGAACGAAATAGTTCCGGGAGAGTTGATTCAGCCCAGGACAACACCAAAGTTCAGCGATGACATAAAGGCAAGCGGTTCTCTGAGAACAAGCAATTGACATAAAAGGATAAACGATGAGAAAGCGCATTGTTAAGAACAGTCTTTAAAGGAGGAAGGAATATTATTCTCGAATTTTTTGGGACTTGTACCCCTTTCATTCTTGAAATAGCTATTTTCTCTCCTAGTGCGCGTGAGATTCTCACACAAGGCTGGTTTACCATCACTCGACGATTTCAAACAAAATGTCTGGCGCAGGTAGAAGACAGAAGCCCGGCATTGGAATTGTGACACCGATGAGTCAATCCCCAGCGAGCGTGCGATATTTCGGCCCCAAAAGGCGTGCCGCCAGATTCAGATTTCCATTGGAAGATTACGGTAGTTACAGCAGAACCACTGCTGCTTGCTGTGCGATGATTCATAAGCGGATCGGATTCTATCTGCCCTGAGCTGCACAGTTAAAAGGACCTGCCTACTTACGGTTCAGATCTCTTACCCAGCATACCAGTCTCATACCATTTGACAAGTTGGCGAAATAAATGATTTCCTGGCTTTGATCTGTTCTGATCCGGCTTATGCTAAGTTACTGAAAGTGATAAGGAATGATAGCCGCCAATAATGTTCGTAAAGAACAGGTTTGACAAAAATCTTGCAATGGCATTATCATGATTATGTATGACTCAAGTAAAAGAGAACAGGATATCGGGCGCTAGACACAACGATTAAAAGCTTACCAAATTCATGGTACGAAAATGTGGGGTCCTGACACGATTGTCAATCACCACGACTTAATTGGTCGGAATCAGTCGCGTCAGGAACCTAACGCCTGGATCCATATGACCATGAAATTTGGGTGAACCCCATTCTTTCGTCTTCTGAGATGAATTGCAACAGCACATATTCTATTGCAATATTCTTGTTTTGTTTTTGTTTTTTTTTNGCGCTCAATTGGATTGGGTTCTTCTTTGGATCATAAGCATCCATAATGTTTTAAGAACTCCCTCATCGATGTTTTTTCAAGTCACTGATCCGCCATACTCATTTTCATAGATGTAACCTGCAGGGAAAACCTTACCATGGGTTACTGAACGCGGTCGTAAGCAATGATTCCACAGCAATCGAAATGTATTCCATTGTAGCACCGCACGACAACGAAGCATAGGTAAAATGAAGTCCCTTTATATGAGTCGTGCTGAACTCTATCCTTTAAAGTCAGTTTTTAATGAAAAGTTGAACCAGCAGTGGCTGATTTCGTTGTTTATGCCTGCTGGAGAGACCTACAATTCCCCCATAGCTTCTCTCCAGCAAGCATATCCAACGAAGTCAACAACTGCTGGAAAGGAGCCTCATGCGTATAGTACGTATTTTGTAATGACTACCCTGGAATTCAGTTGATTTCACGTCCTTCAAATTCTTGTACAAGAACACGGTGCTCCTGGTTTTTTTGCAGACTGAAGATGGACGAGTAGTTGATTAATCTTCACCTTTACAGGGCACCGTAGAAGGCAACGCAACACCGGTGAAACCACCCGTTGGCAGAATGTATTCGTCAGCCCAGAGGGTGGAACTGACCCTTAGCTACGCTCTCTGGTTTCAAATAGAAGGTGGTCAGTTCGTGTGATTTTGGGGTGGCGATTGCTAGAAAGCGAAGCGAGCAGAAGCAGCTCACATCAGTCACTATTCCGTGAAAATTCAATTCAACCAAAACTCAGTTGACAAATGCCTTTATAAGATGAACTGTACGCTACAACGACGATACACGCACAGAATAAGCAAATGTGCTGTGAAGTATGCGTAATTTCACTTCTTGATTTAATTTGGTATTTGTTATAAACAATGCAAATGTCTAAGGAAATTGATATTTGTTTTCGATTAGTCCCTTTCATCGATATGGATCCAACTTCCAGAATTCGTAGGGTTTCGCTGGTGACTGCGGTCTATCCGGAGGTGGGAACGCTCCAGGCGGAGGAGGAGGCCCTGGGGGCGGAGGACCAGGTGGCCACTGTTTCGGAGGGGGTGGCGGTGGCGGTGGAGGCGGAGGTGGCCACTGTTTCGGCGGGGGTGGCGGTGGAGGAGGAGGAGGTCCTGGAGGAAACTTGTGTTGAGGCATACCCCCACCTTGACCTGGTGTCGTATCGAAGTACTGGTCTTTGTCGTATATATAGCCACCACCGCCCGGCGGGGGCGGAGGTGGTGGTGGCGGTGGTGGCTGATTTTGCTGTGGTGGATAGGAGGGTCGGTATCCCCCAGGTGGGGGTGGATACCCACCGGGTGGGGGTGGATACCCACCACCGGCTGGTGGATACGAGGGACCATACCCACCTGGGGGTGGATAAGGAGGATTTTTTTGAACTGCAGGCCGTTTTTGTGGAAATGCGGTGTCTCCCGTTTCTTCCGCGTTTTCCGCAGATTCTTGCGTGCCTTTCGTCCTTCTATCCTTTTCCGCACTGCCCTTTCCTCTGCGAAACTTGGAGAAAAACTTCCAACCTTCTTTTGATCCGCCTTCTGGAAAAGTTGAAATCAGCCAGCATGAGTAACTGGTGATACAGCATCATAGCTGATCATGAACAGAGGGGAGAACTGGGCACCCACTCCAGTGCTCCTCGCCTCTTGAAGCTCAGGTAAAAGTTATATTCCATTGCTAAGAACTGTCTTAAAGCATAACTAAAGTCTTTTCCCCCTCCTTCTCTGCGCTCCAGCGCTCAATGTTGGGTATAAACAGTGGATCCCTCTACAATTTTTCTTTACTTCTCTTGCAAGAAACTTACTTTTGTTTACTCCTCCAGGTTCTCTTCGATATTTCTTCTCATTGGTCTGCAATCAGTAGTTAAGCAGTTTTTCAGCTTATCGTCTTGAAGCCCTCCACTTCTGTACCACCTACCTTACTGTCCGTCCAACTGTCCCCACTCGAGGTTGCTTTCATTCTGTCCCTACCATTGTCCTCCTCTTCAGAGTATTCAGTCGCAGTTTCTACGTCGCTTGTTTCACTTACACTTTTTATTGAAGTTCCCTTGTTTACTGGACCATCCTTATGTTTATTCCTTCTTTCACTCATTTCACTATTTTTCTCTGATTTACTCCTTGTGCTTTCGGTTTCACTTCTTTCTCTTTCTCTTCCTCCAATTTCCCTTGTAGCTTTTGATGGGCTTCTGTTCAAATCTGCAGGAGTAACAACCTTATTACTCATGCTTCTATGGCTTTTTCGGGTTAGATCTATTCGGCTTAATCTAACCTCTACTTCCTCCACCCTTGCTCCGGCACTGAGCGATTATGCATAGTAAAATACCATTCAATGAAGCCCATTCGATCAGAAATTTCAACATAGAATCTGAAAATTCGCGAAATTGGACTGCCAACTGTTTTGAACAGAGCGCGGCGAAATTCGTGGTGATTTGGGCCACTCTGGCGCCTATCATAGGGGCATAGGTTTTGAGCAGATTGGATAAGTAGGACCAGCTGATGCTGATTATCCCCCCTACTTTAGATTTGTGCCCCAATGATAGGCGCTAGGATCGTTTGAATCACTACAAATTTCGTGGTTTGCCGCGTCCATCCAGACTTGGGTGAATGTTCCGTGCCCCGAAGATAGAGGTGGTCCAAGACAGAACATAATATAGTCAGTGCTATAACGCTGAAAGAAATCCAGTTGAATAACAAGGTCAGATTGGCTTTAGGAAATTAGTCAAAATATTGCCAAATGTGGTGTTCGGGTAAGCTCCTGCTTAGTAATATCACACCATTTCCATCATCATGCTGCACCTCGTGTCCCTCAGGTTAGAACAATGCAATGGACCACTCTGGCTCATGACAAGGACTATGCATACGTTACTGGCGCCGAATCGAGGGAATCGATAATTAACGGGACAACAGGTGATACAGGCGATCTATCGCTATCACAAGTTCTCTCTGTAATCACCCAGTGCTTTCACTGTTGCGATATCGCTTCTTACCGCAAGTGATAGCGTGTGTTTCATATTAAGTAGTAAGGTTAATTTGATGGTAGGTATGGTGATGGAATATGCATCTGTGGCGAAGTGATAACACAGACATCGTTCGCAAAGGCAGCGGGGGTGCTGCGAGCGCGGCACTACGTTCGAGTAAAAGACCTCGCAACCGTTAGGATTGCTGGATTGCGCCACGGGACAGCTAGCAAAGAATCGCCGCGCGGTGCCGCGAAACACTGTAAATTGATGTTTTCGTTTGCAGCCCATTTTGCCGCGCTCTACAATACGATACAGCTAGCGTCTCAATAAAGGCTGAAATGGTCGCTATACTGTGGGGAGCGATTTTGCAACCAACATCACATGATGAAAAACTTCCTTCTGAATTCCTCTGGAGGTGAGTATGTATTCCAGATGCCTAATGTCCAGACAAATGCAGTGTTATCTAGACGAGTGTTGAAGCTGTGCAAACAATGACAAAAATCAAACGTGGTGATACTCACAGCGCAAGAACCAGTGAATACGTGAGTCTTCAGTTCAGGTAATAGTGACGAATGAACCACACCGGTTTATCCTACTCTTTTGGAAAGTAGTTTATCTATGTTGTTTATGATGACTACAAAACTTCCATCCAAACCACTCATACCATTTTTCACAGCAATGCGTATGCCACAGAGGAACCAAACCTTAAGCCCCACAAACGTGCTACAAGCTTACGCAACCAAGGCATGCCACGGGGTTGTACTATGCAAAGTCGCCCTTTCATGGATTTCTGAGCTGGCATTGAGTTGATTACTCCAAATCACGAAGTCACTATATCTCCGATACAGGTCATTGATACGAGTTCAGATGTTTCACCCTTTTAAGGGCCAGTTCATCTTGAAAATGGTTTTTGAGATTTCTCTATCGAAAGAATCTGCATTCCCAAGCATAGCACAAGGGATTCTGTCGAGAAACAGTCAAAATAAAACCGGCCCAGCCAACGTACAGACCTTAAGGGAACGAGCTGTTAAGCGTTGTAAGTGCAGCTTTTCGAAATTAATCCATTGGCGACCGCGCCTGTTTAGCGTGTCTCCGCGCCTGTTTAGCGTGTCTGGCGTGCGGGACCGAGCGCGCTTTTCGCGGGCTGCTGCCGTGGCCCGCTGGCGGGCCACACGGTCCCAGGAGCAAGTCAATTTTTTCGTAAGCATTTCCAGCCGACAAAAAAGTTTCTTTCAATATGGTATGTAAGGATTATAAGTCATACACACTATTTAGAGTACATTATGGCATCTAATGTTGTTTCTGATTGTTCGAAGGGAGGTGAGTTTTTACCAAACATTTCCAAACGCGACTTTATCT